CCGAGGGGGATGGGGGTGTCCGGGCTGTGGGTGTCCAGGATGCCGGGGGCGGGGATGCGGGTGTCCGGGGTGTCCCACCGGTCCCGGTGCTGTGGGCGCGCTGCCATGTGCCCTTCCGGCTGGTCCTTAACCTGCCTGCACAGCTGAGCTCCAAGGAGGGGGCCAAGGGCCTGGGCGAGCCCCCGGCCACACTGCCGACGGTACGTGGGTCAGCTGGCAGGCATAGCTTGCTGGCTGGGGCTCAGTTGGGCCCCGGAGCTGGTTGTCGGCAGGGGTGCAGCCAGCGCAGTGTCTCCTAACCTGCAGGTGGGCACGAATCTGACGGACCTGTTGGTCCAGAGGAAGATCACGATCCGGGAGCTGGGGGGGTGCATGGGCCCCATCTGGCCCAGTTACTACGGAGATTGCAGTGCCGTCCTGGTGAGTGGCATCCCCCACCCCTGGCTTTGGAGCGTGGCCTTGTCATCAGGTGTGCTGCAGGAGCCCTGCACTGAGTCACCACTCTGTGGGGAGGACCCATCCAACAAGGGGCTGATGGTGCTGGGGAAGGGCGACCTTGTGCCTGGGGGCTCTAGGCTGGGCCCTGCTTTGCTGCAGGGGTTCAGACCCCCTTGGTTTTGTCCTGTGTTGCAATTTCCTCCTGTCTGTGCTCTGATTTGGATCTGTCCTGGTGTGAGGGGTTTCCAGCTGCTGCAGCATCCTCGGCTGCATCCCTCACAAGCCCTTTTGCCTTCTGTTTCTCCAGTTCATGATTGACGCTGCCAACCCCACCCAGGTCTCCTCGTCCTGCATTCAGCTGCTGTCCCTCCTCTCTGCAGAGCAGCTCGCCTCCGTGTCTGTGCTGATCCTCTTCAATAAGATGTAAGGAGAGACCTCTGCCGGGAAAATGCCAGGTTGGGGGCAGCCATGGCAGGAGCGTCGAGGGCCTATTGTGGCTCCTATGTCATTTCCAGACAGGTGATGCCTGAGGAAACCTACCATGCTCTGGAGGGTGGCAGCTGTGCTTTGCTGCACTTCCTTCAGACCAACTGAGCAGGTTGACAGGGTTGGGAAGGAAAGGGTCGTCACGAGCAGTGGGCTAATGCAGCCTCCACTTTTTCCTCCTTTTCCCCCGCCCTCATTCCTGGCTGCAGTGATCTGCCCTGCTACATGTCACTGGTGGAGATGAAGTCGCTGTTCCGCATGCAGGACATTGTCTCCTGCGCAACGCAGCCCATCACGATGGTGGAGACCAGCGCCCGCGATGGCACCGGCCTGCCTGACGTCCTGCAGTGGCTTCAGGCCACCCTCCGAGATCCCAGCTGACCCCGAGCCCTGCCATTCCTCGGCTGTCTGGGCTAAGGAAAGGATTTGTGGCAGCTCACACTTAGCCTGTCACCCAGATGGGGCTCCAGGGACTGAAGGAGGTGGCTGGAACAGCTGCCTGCAGCTGTGAGTAGGGCTGAGGGCAATGACACGGGCTGATGGTAGGAAATAGCTCTTTGAGACGTCACAGTAAAACTATGAAGCCTCAAGACTTCCTCCGTGTTATCCATATTGGCAGTTGTCCTGTGACGGTGGGGGTGGAAAGTCCTGCCTTTCACAGGAAGGATGAGCAGGAATCTCAGAGACCAGACTCTCCTTTCTGCGTCAATCCATCCTTAGCCCCTTCTAAGGCAGAGCTCTGCCTTCAAGCTCTCCTGCCAGGACTGCTGCAGTGCTCCCAGACTCCCCTCTGTGGGGTTAGGGGGGGCAGGTGGATCAGGTCAGTCCCTGCCCTGCTCTTTTTTTGGGGCTGGAGTGGACTGTCCATGTCACTCATCTGCCCCAGATTCTGGAGTCCATCTGCAAGTAAAACCCTGCTGAGGAGTTACAACAAGCAAAAGCCCACAGCCAGTTTAAAGAAAAGCATACAGCTCTTGTCTCCAGAGGTAGTGCTGTATCTTGCAAGAGCAGAAAACTATAGGCTTTGGATCTGTGTAAAGATGAAAGATAAGGGCTTCATGGAGGCACAGTCTCTGCTGCAAATCAGCAGGTACACAATGAAAAACTATGTAAACATGTTGTTTATTTACATAGATTAAAAGCAACAGGAATCCCATGTACTGGAGTGCAACAAGTGGCAAAGGGGTATCCCCAGCACGGCACTGCTCGCAGGGACGTGGGAACTGTGCTCCCTCGTGCTGGTGACAATTTGAAGGCTCTGTACGTTCAGCTGCCCTCGCCTCGCCTCTTTCCGTGTCCAGAGAGCCCGTTCACGTGAGCTCGTAGCCCAAGCTTGGAAGCAGCATACAGGCAAGGAGGGGAGAGGGGCTGCCTGTGTGTTCTCTAGAGCTGCACTGGGGCCCTGTGGAACAGGAGAGGTGGTCGCAGTGCTTGTAGGCAGTGGGGCAAGCGCCAGCAGCCCGGCACTCACAGAAGCACAAGCCGTGGTGCTTCCAGGCCTCCGCGGCTCCTGTGTCCTGCTGTGCCTTGCAGAGGGTGGCAGGATGGGGGGAAGTGCGGTGGTGAGGTGGTTACACAGCTCCTGGCTTGAAGACTGAGCGTCTGCACAGTTGTGTGCTGCTCTGTGTGCAGGTCTCCTGCTGGCTGCTTTTGCCCCCATGCCTTGTGCCAGCCAAAGCGTGCTGGGGTGACCATGGGCAGTGTGTGGAAAGACTGGGGCAGGAGGGAGTTGTCACAGGCTTGAGCAGGCTCTGCTGCAGCAATGCCCTAACCCGGGAGGTCTCAGGAGCTGCAGCAAGTGCCAGTCTGCGGCTGCTTCTCAGCACTCACTCATGCTCAAAAAACTGGAGAGAATGGTGAGGAAAATTGCTTTCTTGAAGCAACTGAATGAGCCGATTTCTAAAATCTTCCTCCATGAAGGCTGTAAAATTTTGCTCAATGGACATGTATGTGTTTGGCGTCAGGGACGCATGTGTTGAGACAACTCTTTCCTGCAGCCCCTGGACGCCCAACAGCAGGTTGCTCAAGCTCTCGTTCTCAGCGCAGTTCCCGTGTGGCCACAGGGGCTTCTTGGCATCATCTAGGGGTGGCCGAAAGTCCACATTTTGGAACATCTTGTTGCAAATCAGACAGGGTTGTTTTTCCTTGAATTCTCCTTTATGGTACCAGAAAGCCCGGCTCTGCACTCCGTCAGGGAAAACAACGGCCAGCCCATACTTTGCATTATACACCGCAAAGGCCACTGCCTTGTGCCATGTTCTCATGCACGACACGCTAATCATGATCTCCCTCTCCACCCTCCCCTTGCATGAGAGGGATGCTCCAAAGAAGAGAGGGGAACCTGTTCCTTCCTGGACATCACTGTAGAAGCTGTGAGCCACAACTGCAGCTCTGAAAGTGAATTCAGAGGGCTTCAGAGCAGGTGTTCCATCCTCCATGGCTTTTTGCAGAGCTTCATTAAATTTTATCAAGAAGGCCTCCATCTTCTCTTTGGTGCTGCAGCCTGCTTCTTTTGTGCCCTGTGAACAGACGCAGCTATTTATAAAGACCTAGCTCACCTCTTTTGCTCCTGGAGAAAAAGCAAGACTCTTCACTAGAAGCAGATAAGCAGATGACTGTAGTTTTGAAGAATAAAGCAGCCCTGCTTCAGAAATAGTCCTCTATCTCATAAGACGCTTCAGCACCAGCTGGTCAGCTCACAGTGACTTAGAAGTTCCAAGAGAGATAAACCCCTAAAAACAGGACTCTAACTTAACAATTTGGGGAGCATTTAATGAAATGATAGATGGGTTGGGTTGGATTTGAGACCCTGAGACAGAAATGGATAAATCAGGGCTTCTCTCTTGAAATGCTTTCTAGTAGCAACCTGCCTTTGCAGTGGTACTGGTGCAATTTGAAAACAAGGCCAATTGCTTGCTGCGGGATCTGGGCTAGTTGCTGACATTCTGAGGGAAGCGTTGCAGCCACCAAAGGGACAGCACAGTGGCCAAATAAACTCTGTGTGCAGAGAGTGGTGGGGCGGCAGCAAGCGCGCTAACCTGTGGAAACTGCTCAGCCTGCAGGAGTTTCTCCCAGATGCAGAGCGCTCACCCTGTCCATCCGGGGCATCCCGCTTGCATGGCGGCCAGATTGACCTGGGCGTCCCTGCAGCTGCCTGGGGTTTATATCACACCTCCACCTGGCCTGAACGCCTGGCTCCAGCCAAGCTGCTTCCCGAGCAGGGCTGTAGGGGGGCACGAGAATACTTACGAACTCCAGCAGGATGGAGTACGGCGTCATGCTGGGGAGGTGGGTGCCGCACTGGTCAAACGGTCTGGGGAAGCGCGCCTGCAGCGCCGTGCAGAGGCTCGGCTCTAGGAACTCCGAGGGGGCTACCGGGATCCTGTGCACTTTTCCGAAGAAGAACACCGCGTGCAGCACCTTTGGTGAGCAGAGACCGGCGGGTCTGATTCGCACCTCTTGCTGGGCGCTCGCCGCCCCCAGCGTGGGCATCACGGGGCAGCTGCAGCCTCTTTGCAGGCATGCGGAGCCCTTCCTCAGTCCACTGC